ATATATATATATATATATTATAAGTATATAAGTTCTTAAAATACTAGTATCATTTTACTTTTATTATACTTGCTTCAACTAAAACATAGCAGAATCACGCTGCAGCTGTAATATGTCGTAAGAATAAAGAAACAAGCAAAACGCACCGAAGCTTAATTCGCGATATCGAAATTCTGAAGTACTGCGCTATATATAGAACTACTCTCTTCAAGGATCTCGAGGGAGGGAGGAGTCTTGGAGGCTGAGATGACTGACGTCCTGACGTCATTGTTAAACCCAAAGTACCCTTAGCTTTTCTTATTATTGTTTATGGTCCGATCTATGCAGAATGAACTGACTGTTTCTTGAAGTCTTGCAGTGGTGTGCTTGAGTTTAATTTTAATTTTATTGATTATAGGGTCCCAAGTAGGTGTTAGTAACCAGCCACCTACTTTATTGAAATTAGGATGTTTTGTATTTTCAATAGCCTCACGTATTATCTTTGGTGAGAATCGATGTTCTTTCGCAAGGATTTGTGGTCTATCAAATCTTAATGGTTGGGGCCGTCTTGAATATGATCAAAAACTGCAGACTTCCCGGAACATTGATGCTTCACATCAGCTATATGATCTTTTACGCGGGTTCTAATTGATCTTTTTGTTTGGCCTATAAGAGAGACCAAATTCACAATCAAGCTTGTACACTCCTGCATCTTAAAGAGGAATTTGATACTTGACAGATGGTAAGAACTGACTAATCATCTTCGGCGGCTTGTAGAAGGTTCTAATAGAAGCTCGGTTCAACATGTAGCCAATCTTGTCTGTGAAACCTCTGATATTTGGTAGTACAGCAGGCACACGCTCGACTGTGGCCGGCTTCACTCGGTCACTGTGACGTAGGTGCGGGAACCGAAGCTTGTTGTCGTACAGAACCTCTCGGCGTGTCGTAAAGAAGCTCGGCGGCCAGGTGTTTGCTGTCACAAATCCCTCGTGCTCTCTGCAATAAAGATTTGGCCACGGTAGCTAACTGTGAAGGATGGGTTTGTATGGGTCTTTTTTCTGTACACAGTGTGACCTATGGTGTTATTAGGATTTAACCCCTCAATTCCCTTAAAATTCTCATGCAGTCGCATGCGCCTGGCAAATCCCGAGCGGTCACATGCGACGGCACCCACCCGCAGCACTTAAAACCATTAAAACTTATATTTGGGGACTACTTTTCTATGAAGAAGTTTGGAATTATAAAATGTATACAAAATTCTCTATATAAAAGTAGGTTTTAGTTCATTACAAAAAGATTATTGTATTTTGATAACAAAAAAAAAAAACATACCAAGCGAATGTCGGCAGCGTAAAAATCACAATTATTTCAATATATCGATATCGAAATTATTTACGCAAAAATATAAATTATAGTTACATAAAAACTTTCATTACAATTTTATAATATAACACTATACTAAAACACTATAAAAATCCAAAAATCAACACAATAAGTTTCAGGCGAAAATGGCGTATGAAATGAATGCAGATTATAAATAAATATCCATAGCATAACTATTTTTTATTACACTAAAGGATAGAAATTTCATATTGATTCTATATTGCCAAATTTCTTTATAGAAAAGTAGTCTCCTACTAGTCCCAACTCTAAATATAAGTTTTAATAGTTTAAAGTACTGCGGGTGTGCGCGGTCGAATTCGACCGCTTGGATTTTGACGGAATAGCACCGCGGTTGAATTCGACCGCTTAGGGGTTGAAGTGATAAGATGACTAACACATCTAGGAAAGCTAAGGAATCGTTTGCCTCTAACTTCATAGTAAATTGAATTTTAGAGCTTATGGAATTAAGATGTTCTAAAAATGCCGTTAGTTCGTCTGAAAGAAAAATTGTGAAAGTAACGTCTACTTACCGCTTGTAGATCCTTGGTATAAAAGGTGCAGTAAGGGCTTTGTCCTCAAAGTCTTCCATGAATATATCGGCGACAATGGGAGATAGAGGTGAGCCCATTGCAACACCATCAAAGTGCTTGCATAACTCTTCCTTCCACAATAGATAGCTAGATGTAAGGCAATGTCTGAGTGGTACTGCATATTATGCTGGCATGTTATTTTTCTCTAGTTTCCTAGTTATAATTGAGATGCAGTTTTTAACAGGTAGGTATGTAAATAGAGACTGAACATCAAAACTGACCATGGTTTCATTGTCAGAAACACGTGTCTTTCATCTCACTGACAAAATGGTATGAATGTTAGCGTTATTTGTTAAAATTATTATTGTGTTCTCTTGTATGTCCTCTGAGTGGTGATAATATTTTAGCTAAGCGTTGAGCCGATCTACAAGTTGGCGAATCAATCTGGCTCAATATTAGACGCAATGGAGCGTTCGGCTTGTGCATTTTTGGTAACATATAACTTCGGTGGTTTGGCACATGCAGGTTTTATCGAATTAACGTCTGGATTCAATTCCTCGGAGTATTATTAATGAGATTGCAAGTTGTTTTCAGCGTATTAATTTTAGGGTCTGTTTTGACCTTTCGATATATAGTTTTATCTGACAAAAGTTGTTGTAGCATTACCTTTATCATGGTGTAGAATCGTAAGCTCTGGTCTGTCGCATAAGTTTATGGGCACGTAAATTATTTTTTGGGAAGATTTAATTTCTTCTTAACTAAAAAACTTCGACGTAACATAAACGAAATATCTTGACGTATTGCCTCTAAATCTTATTTAACAATATTATTTTTATACAGATAATCCTCAACAGATAAAGTCCTCATGTGGTATTCTTTGCAGTGTTATTGCGAAATTTATACCTTTTGTAAAACTTTTATTGTGGCGTCTGTTGGGGGCGGAAACCAAATTCCGCTCGAGACAAAACCTGCTTGGGGCAAATGTCGACTTGGGGCGACTTTATTCAAAACTTAACATCGTGCACTTCCACCTGAAAACGGCGAAGCTAGCCTTGCTCTTTCTAACCAAGACACAAATATCCTCTCCGGCTGTTACTTCTTCTCACTCCTGCCCGGGGTACAAATTAGAACAATTATTTATGCCATGGAATGGAGTTTGCGTGTACGTCAGAGAGAACATCGGTTTTCGACGTCTCTACAGCCTTGAAGGCAATGATCTGTCCATTCTATGGCTGCGCGTATACTGCAATGAGCATTTCCTCATCTACGGGTGACTCTTTATGTCCCATAGCGGTAATTCCGACACAAATCAACTCATCGATCACGTCCAATTGGCTGCAGACTCCGTGCTACAACAGATCCCATCTGCAGAGATCGTGGTGTTTAGTTATTTTAACGCCCAAGCTGGCTTGGTTCTCGTTTAACCGATCATTTGGGTAGATCTGTTTATGACTTTGCTATGGCATATGGTCTGACATAACTGGTTAACTCAACTTCGCGGATCCGGTATCCGGTATTATATACGGGCGGTATGGTGGTCAAAAATTACCATCACCCCTGAGAACTAGGATGGAATGCGTCGTGTTTAGTAAAAAAGGTTTCGGGTTTCCTACACCATACGAAACAAAAACATCCCCACCACGTACTTAAAATATAGAAATAATTTTACTGATGTAAAATATAATAAACAAAAGTTCCCTAAATAGATTCCTTATCCTGAACGATAATATTAAGTATATCTCAAATTTATCGACATTCATTCTATCCAACATAGATCTACTTCAGAAAAATAAAAAGTTTTTTGTGATTGAAGCAAAGTTCAATGTAAACTTTTCACAAGAATAAAAATTGCAAACACTCAAGGGTTGTTCCACTTCACTGTGTGTAGAGCTTGATTGGTTTTTTATACCAGATCATGTTGCGAAAGTTTCTTTGCAGAGGTATTTCGAACTTGTTGTAAGTTAAAACTAAATAAGTTTTCTCCAGCAAATCCTTAAAAAATAACCTTTAAAAAATATAATATCGCTCAACATCTATATCCCTAATTCACTTTATTCTTGGATCTATTTATATACCATAATATTATATATTTTGTTTTTGTTTTTTATTATATATTTTTATCACCGTATATGTGGAACATTTTATTCCATCATCTGTGGTATGGTGCTACCTATTGGAAGTAGAACCCAGCCATGATTTGGTCACCACCGTAGAACTGCATTAAACAAAAATTAGGAGTGCTACCGCGCCTGGGCTGATGCATCGACTTCTCGGAATGCAAACACCAGCGCTCTTGAAATGAAGTATAATTTCGTCTCCAGGTCCTTCAAAAGTGTCACTGCCAGGGAAAAGTCAGAGCACTTTGCAAAATAGCAAGAAAATATTTCTTCTTCCTTGGGGAACACGTGCATTCTGATCAATTGCCAAGTTTGTCCAAGGGAACTTCTATCTACCATCTTTCCCATCTCAACACATGAAGGACGACTCAATAGCCCGTGCCACAAAGGACATACTTGATCTGCTGTGTTCTTTCTTTGCCTACAACTCGACTATTGATGACGGAGGAAACTCACTGCCGTCTGACTAAGGACCTGTCGCAATCACTCTTTCTCCATGATAATCTATTACAAGGAAACTACTACATTCATCGTTATGCAGGTGCCAGCACTGATGATGTTTCATACACTGACCGCACCAATATTACTCGGGAAAATGTCGCCGAGTACCGCTTTGTCGGAAGTCTAGACCTTGTTGAATAAAGTCTCGCACTGGGGGCGAATAAATGTAGTTCAGTTGAGCTAAAACATATCGTACCTGTTCAGTTTCAGGGCGCTCTCTTTGTTGCCTCAGCCTATATTGGAATCCTCGGCGTTGACACATCAATGATTTGCAGTTTCGTGGCCACTTGGAAGAGAAATCCGAATTTGTAATATAATAATAATAATAATAATGCCTGGGACACACGGGCAGAGGAAGGCCGAATAAAAGATGGATCGATTATGTGAAGAGTGATATGAGAATGAAAGGAGTAAGTATGGAAATGACGGCTGATAGAGAGGAATGGAACAAGAAGATTTACTGCGCCGACCCCAGATAATGGGAAATGGTTTAGAGAATGATGATGTTGAATGATGAATAATAATGCCTGGGGGTCGCCGGGGCGCGTCCTGGCGCTGAACGCGGCAGCATGTGGGCCGCCAGCCGAGCACGAGGAGCTTCACGATCACCTAGCAGCCCCCCGCATCCATCATCCCCACCAGAAGGCCTGGTGTCGACTGGGTCTTCTCGACTCAGCCAGCGGCACCCGCCGCTGGTGGAGCACGTTGCATGCGTTGGACAAAAGCTATGAAGAAAAAGCATTGCGGGCGTACTATTAGGGCGAAAAGGTAAGAAACTGTGGGAATAGCGTATAGGGGTCGGATGCATCGCTTTTTTACTGTGCTGGATCCGTCTATTCATATAAAAGTAAATAAACTAAAATGAAGGATAAATGTTTTATTTCTGTTCGAATTTCATTTTTTGGTTTAAGTAAATTTGAATGTTTATAGTCACTTTATTCCCGTCACGGAACAAAACCTGGCAGACCGAGTTCGGTACATCATGCGCTCGAAAATATTTGATGATGCTGTTAATATTAATTATATATAATTAATATTTGGTGATGTTATGGCTGGGGATGCAGCTCCACATGCGACAGACCAGCATCCACACGTGGAAGCCGCCATGGATCTTCCAGTTGTGGTTGATTAGAGCGACGATAAAATAGTCTCCCACGAACTAGAGCAAATGAGAAGCATATTGGATGCGGCAATTTTGGAAACCCGCAGCATCCCTCTCGAAAATCGACCGCGACTTCCCCGCATACCCCTAAGCAAGCAAAATCGGGCTGTCGTAAGAGCTCTTAACCCATGCTGGTGACCTATTTGGAAGCCAGCCGGGACCTTTGCGAGACGGACTCAATTCCTTTTGGCGCCGCATACATGGCTGGACACACTACTAGACAAAGTAGCGCCATCCCAGCCTGGAGAAAAAGAATCGAGAACCGTATCGCAAGGGCAAGGACCCTTATCGGCAGACTGACAAGCTTCTGGTCGGGTAATAATAGACCGAGGATTGTGCGCACCGTTAGGATGGCGTTTGCTGGGACAAATATCAGTTTGTCCCAGCCGGATACCACGCAGTAACTAACGGAGCGCATAGACGCCCTGAAGCAAAATATCGCTGCTTGGGGAAGCGGATATAAAAGCGGACGATTTACCGAGAGGTCAAGGCGGTTCAACCAGAAGGTCTCTTCCAGAGTGATCAGAAGAGGCTCTATTAATCATTGGAGCGACCAGAGGTATGTGGAGCGGGCCAAGGACCGGATCAGGCTGACATTATCGCATTCTGGCGTGGCCTGTGGTCAGAGCCCGTAAACCACAGTGAGGGCCCTTGGATGGAAGTTGTGGCGAGCCAGGGTGCGAGTGTTACGCCTATGGACCCCATCACCATAACGCCGGAAGACGTGGCTGAGGCGGTCCGTAGGGCCCCGAACTGGAAAAGTCCGAGGCTCGACGGGCTGCATCATTACTGGCTGAAGAGGTTCATAGTGTGTCACGTTGCGCTCGTCCGACAGTTTCAACAGGCTCTCGACCAGAAGTCGCTCCCGAGCCTCTTCACTACTGGGATCACTCACTTGGTTCTTAAAGATCAGGATACCACAGACCCGAGCAAATACCGCCCCATCACGTATCTACCCACCATATATAAGACACTGACATCCATTTTGAGTGCGAGAATCACTCTTCACCTGGAGCTAAACCAGGTGAAGTCACGCGCTCAAAATGGATGTCGGGGCAGTGGTCGTGGAACCAAGGAACCTCCCATCATTGACGCGGTCATAGGCAAAGTTGTGAAACGCAACCGTCAGAACTTCTCTGCCGCTTGGATAGACTACAGAAAGTTGTTTGACTCGGTGCATGGGGCATGGGACATGGCTAAAGAGGGTCCTCGAGCTGTACAAGATTGACTGTACAGTTAGAGACTTCCTCGAGCAGTGTTTGGGGCAGTGGAGTACGATCCTTTGTGCTGATCTTTTATTTCTTATTACTACTTTTCTTATGTGACTAATACTCCCCTCAGCTCTCGTTCCTGATACTAGATGGAGCGCGTTAGTGTTTATCGTCGACTTGAGTAAACGCGTAACACGGACGGGTATGAAACAGTCAGTTTGCGTCGTGTTTTATGCACGCTTGACCAAAGTGCTTAACAGCCTTTTGTCCGGTGTGAATAAGACACACGCATATAGCGGTTGGGTCATGCCTGTCCTCTTGTATACCTTTGGCATACTCAGGTGGACCCAGACTGAACTTAACACTCTGGATAGAAAAGTCCGCACTACCATGACGTCCCATAGGATGCATCATCCGAGATCGTCGATAATGAGACTATACTTGCCGCGAAAGCGTGGTGGGCGTGGTTTTCTGAGCGCGCTCACCATGCATAATTGCGAAGTGTGCAGCCTCCGTAATTACTTCCTGGCGAGATCGGATGATCCATTCTATAATGACGTCATTTCTAGTGATAAAGGGCTTACCCCTCTATCCTTAGCCAACGAGCAATGGCAGGACCCAGCAGTGCTTAGCATTTCCGACCGGGAGACCGTATGGAAGGAGAAGGAGCTCCACGGGAGGTACTACAGGGCTCTACATGAGCCCTTCGTAGATACAAAGTCGCCTCCCTCAACTGGCTACGTTTCGGTGACCTCTTCGGGGAAACCGAGGGTTTTGTCTGTGCAATACAAGATCAGGTTATTAAGACCAACAACTATCGGAGATACATCCTAAAGGATGGCACTGTCGACATCTGTCGAGCTTGTCGCCATCCCGGGGAGTCACTTAGGCATGTCATCTCCGGTTGTTCGGCGTTTTTTAACTCTGAGTACTTGCACAGGCACAACCTAGTAGCCAGAATTCTACACCAGGAGCTCGCTCTGAAAAACGGTCTCGTGGATCGAAAATTGCCGTATTACAAGTACTTGTCGGAATCTGTGCTCGAAAATGACCGCGCCAGGCTCTTTTGGGACCGGACCATCATCACAGACAGGACTATTCTTGCGAATAAGCCTGATATTGTGCTGATGGACCGGTTACAGTCAAGGATATTTTTGGTCGACATTACCATTCCGTATCAATATGTGGGGAAGGCTGCCGGCCGAAATTATTCCTGCAGTCGTCTCTGCGAATGGGCTAATCTCAGTCAGCCTCTCGGGTCATCTGAGGCGACTGGGACTCCGTGACGGACCGCTTCGGGCTCAAATGCAGAAGGCAGTGCTCCTCGATACTGCCCGCATCGTCCGTCGGTTTCTTCCCCTTTCCTCCTAACCCTCGGCCGTTTGGTCTACCCTGGTTGGGTTTTTATTTATTTATGTATTTTTGTATTTATTCTATTTTAATTATATTTATGTATATTTATCTTTTAATTTTAATTTATAACTATATATTTATAGAACCCAACTAGACGAGAAAACTATATAGATACACCATATAATAATAATGGTCTCCCCTGCCGAGGGCCTCGATCTGGTTGAGCTTTTATTTATATATGTATTTTTATATTTATTTTATGTTATTGATATTTATGTATATTTATCTTTTCATTTTCATTTATAATTATATATTTATAGAACCCAACCAGATGAGAAAACTATGTTGAAACCCTCCAATAATAATAATAATAAATGATTAATTTACTCACCACAATATTACAGAATTATTGTACATAATAATAGAACATTTCATCTTAATGTTATACTGTGGGAGACTGGTGCCTAAGCTAGGCTTTACGCCTGTATTTCAGGCCATCAGGTCTCCGCCCTATGGTTCTATGGTTGTAATTACAAAACTTTTATCATGTACATGTACCACATATGTAATTTACATAATGCACCTTCTTTTACCTAACTAGTATTTAATATATATTGAAATCTGGTGCTATTATTAGTCTGTGTGTGTGTGTGTGTGTGTGTGTGTGTGTGTGTGTGTGTGTGTGTGTGTGTGCGCGTGCGTGTGTGTGTGTGTGCTTTTGTTTATTTGTTTGTAACTGGGTTAGAAATTGTACGGATATTAATTAGTTAGGATTAGTGAGTAACTTTTCAGTGTCATCATAATTTAATTCTTGAATTCAGATAGTTATTTTCTTTTTGCATGTAGTCTTATTGACGTTAAGTATAGGGATAATTTTATTGATTTTATTGTGTAGAAAACCTCCAAGGTGACAAAAGAAACGTTTAGATAGTTTGGTGGATAGAGTTATATGAATGCGGTCCACGGGGTTAAAACGCCTTTTACCTCGGGAGAGTGAGGGATTGTATTTTAATAGAGCATGTTGTTTTAGTAAGGTTCTTTGTATAAACAGTTGACGCACAGTGAGAGTTTTCAATTTTTTATATAGGACCTCCGTAGAATAGTGATACGGCAGCGAAAAAGAGACCTTTAAGATGGCCCTCTGCGTTCTCTCCAGTTGAAGCATTTTTGATTTTGGAGCACCGCCCCAGGAGGTAATATCATATGTTAATAGAGATTGAGCCACGGTAAAATATATGGATTTCTTTAGTTCATCATCCGCAACCTGCTATTAAGGATATGTGCTATTTTTTTGTAGTTAGCACTGCATTAAGTGGATTGGAACACGAGTGACTTACAATGGTATATGGTAAAGATGATGCGGTTAATATGTTATTTTTTAATCTAAACGAGACATAACATATTTTAACTATGTTCAATGTCAGTACGTTATTTCGGAGCCAATTTGAGACAGTGTTGTAGCCCAACTGGGCGTACGCGTAGACTTCTTGCCGTGTACTTGCACTAAAAAGGAGGACAGTGTCATCTGCAAAACTAATGATCCACCCTTCAGGGAGTGTGAGCATACCCAGTTCGTTAGTATATATGAGAAATAAGGTTGGAGAGAGTACGCTGCTCTGAGGCGTTCCATAGGTAGTTGTGCATTCCGCATTGACGAACTTATCCACCTGAACGAACTGAGTACGTCCACTCAAGTAGTCTTCAAAAAGTCGCAGTTGAATACCTCTAATTACCATACTCTTCATCCTACGTAAAAGTATGGGTACAGAAACCGTGTCGAAAGCTTTGGCAAGATCTAGAAAAATGCCGAGAACTTTCTGCGCATTGTTTAGTAACAATATAATTTGTTAGGTCATGAATCGCATCGGACGTAGATTTACCTGACCTAATACCATATTGTGAGGGCGATAGTAAGTTATTTTTTTTTTCAAATAATTTACGAGCCTGTTGTTCATTATGCGTTCAAGTATTTTGGACAAGCCAGACAACACGGCTATAGGTCTATAGTTATCGGCACGATCTCTGTCCCCACCCTTATAAATCGGGTGTATAATCGACTTTTTAAAAGCTTTGGGGAATTTTCCGGTTGTGAGAGCAAGATTGCAGATATATGTCAGGGGTGGGACAACTACATTAACATGCCTTTTAAGTTGATAAGAGGATATTTCATCCCAACCCACAGCACAGTCATTACGGAGCGATATTATTCACCTTGCAACCTCGTCCTCATCCGTTGGTAACAATACTGCGACTGCAAGTTGTTGTTAAAGGCTTTTTTTTGTTGACTCTATCAGTCCACCTAATATCTTTTCTGCAAGATTTTTACCTATGTTAGCGAAAAAATTGTTAACTGAATTAACAGATAGCTTCGGAGAAGATGATAAAGTCAATAACTGATGGGACGAATTCTCTTTCTTTTTTGCTCTGTTTGTTATGTTGTTTATTGTTCCCCAGAGTTGCTTAGGATTTTTATTAGCCTTTTCAAATTCATTTCTTTCATATTCCAGTAAAATTTTTTTTTAACAACTTATTACAATAGTTTCTGTACCTAGTATTCTTAAGACTTCGTTTTCTGGCCACTTTTTAGATTTTTTGTGTAAATTATCTCTGTGTCGAATACAGCGTAAAAGGCCTGGAGTTCTTAATGGCTTATCATTAATTCTGCTGCTACATGAGGATCTTGGGTATTATATACTTAACCAAAGTCGATAATTTTCATGTCGTCAGTTAATTTATCGTAGTTAATGCGCGTCGTTGTTTTTTTTAATTTTGGGCATTTTGCTTGCGAGAAATAATAACACGGTATCATGATCAGTTAGTGCTGAGTGGGCGGCTGATGTTGAAGCAGGCAATAGAGTTTTAAGGACATAATGCTCAAGACATGCATTTTGTCTAGTGGGCAAAGAATGTGCAGGCTGCAGGCTGTGTGACGCTAATTAGTTTAAGTAGTTTAGCTTGCTTATGTCGTGGCATTCGTCATGGATGTTAATGTTTATGTCCCCAGTTATTATTATATTTTTGTAATGTGTGATATTACTCAAGGTTATGTCAAGCGAATGTAGGAAGTTAGTGACATCTCTATGGCTTGGTGGTCGATATATTGCTAATAAAATGGTATTTTGGTTTATTTTTATTTGTAGACAATTTGCATTTAGAAATGGAGATTATTATACAGCAACCTGTAGATTTTCATGTACGTATACAACTACACCCTCGTTTTGTGTTAGTTTATTAGCAGTATTAAAGTATTTATAACCACTTAGGTCAGGGATATTATGTGTGTTGGGAAGCCAACATTCATTTAATGTGATTATGTCCCAATCAACCTTAGTCCGTAGTACTAGCCAGTGTGGTATATAAACCAATCATATTTTTTAAGATACTTCTAATGTTTTGATTAAGTATTTTGAGTGATTGCTTAGGGTTAAAGTTTAGTGGGATGTAATTGTCTAAGTCACAGGTAGATGAATTCGACACTGAGACAGAATCTATGTTATTTGCGTTGTTTAGTATATTATCTACTATTATGGTGTTTACTTTACCTTTTACATTTTTATAAGTGACATTTAATAGAGCTAAATTGATAATGATAATTAATTGGTCGCCAAAAGTAGTACAGAGAGAGAGGGAGAGAGAGCTTACAGTATTTATATATTCTCGTATTGCACACAGAATTTAAGTGTTCTTAGTTTATAACATTAGTTGTATGTAGTGTGTGTATGTATTTGTTAGTGTAGCATTTGTGTATTCTGTAGAATGTTGTATGTATATGAAATGATGTTGGTATTTAATATAGTTTTTAAATTTAATTCTATAAACTTGTAACAAATATAGTATTATAATATATGTGAACAATATTGCTAAAGATAAAATAACACAATCTAGTCAATTTTGTCTTTGTAGTTATGCTAGATCATCTTCTGACTTGATTTTGAAGTCGGCTGGGCATCCCTTCTTTGTTGCGTGGTATGGTAAGGTGAATACCTTACCATTTGCTGTCCAACATTGTTCGTATTCACTGCTCTTAATAAACTCTCTTGCAAGGTAGTAGAGTCGCTTTGTCATGGCGGTGAGCACTTCAGAGACGTATTAGAAATGCTTAGGTCCTTTTTCTTGCAAGGGGGTTGTGTTAAGGCGATTTTCCCTGTTCTGTTTATTATAGATTTTAGTTGACTTCAAAAATAGTTGCCCCACTGATTCCGTCTTACTCTTCAAACGAAAAATATTTATAATGTCCTTTTCCAGTACTGGACGATTAATAATACTGCCAAGTTTTTTGATTGTGCTTATTAGGGTGTCACGGGTTTCAGGACACTGTAATAGTACATTTTTTATTTCAAGTGATGCTAATCTCAAATTTTTTTCCAAAAAGTCTTCCTTATTTTCTAATGTTTTTATAACCTGTTGATTTTTGTTACACTCTGCTTTTAAATTATTAATCTCAAGCACCGCCTCATCATATTTGTCAGACAAAAATGACATGGTCTTTTGGATTTCTTCGTTTTGAGCACGGATTTATAAGTTTTGAATGGCAATTTTTGCGTTTTGAGTTCGAATTTCTTCGATTGCCATTCGCAGGGTATCTATTTTATTGTTTTGTTGAGTTTGGTTCAACACGAACTCCTCAAACATGGTTTTCATATCTACCATCATTTTTTTCATTCGCCCTAATTCATCCGACTCACGTTTTCTTTTCCTTTGCGTAATGTTTAGGTTTTCATTATTGGGGCACGATGTTAAATTCGGTTCAGATGTGTAGTGGGGTGATGCCGGAGCATTAGGGGGCGAGCGTCGTATCATGGTTTAGTTTAAGCGTTTTTTTATTCCTTTATTTTATTTGGTACTTATATAAATGTTTTTTTAGTATTTATATGTTTGTTTAGTTTTTACTAACAAAATTTTAGAATAAGTAGTATATTTAATTTACTCACAAGGCGATCGCTGATACGACGGTTTTGTCTTGATGCGTGAGAGAAAGTTGCCGAAATGACGCTGGATTGGTAAAACGGTCGTCGCTCGAAGTTAAAATATTATGTATGTAGTAGCAAGGCCGGTCATTGACACGGCCCTGTTAGTTCGTGGACACTATGACTCACACTCACTGTTTATTCAATATTTTCGATCCTTATAGATTAACACTGTATTATCTTGTAATTTCTTAACTAATTTCGCAGTTGGGTTTTTGAACTATGTTATCCATGCACTTTACTGCATAGCACAACTTTTTTCAAATTTAAAGATTAACTTTATACTCAATAGCGAATATTAAGCACGGAGACCAAACAGGTACGTGTTGTTGCACGATCACCTGCGGGCGGAGCAGAGGAGATATGAAGATATGTTGCATTTCTTTGCGTATTTTATCGCATATAACACGGGGAGTTCTTGCTTAATATTAAGCAGTGCTGATTGCAGCTGCTCAATTTCACCATCGCATATCGTGATAAAACTCACGATACCATCCATACCATCTGAATGGGTGGCGATCTACCACTGGAATTATATACATTTACAGGAATTTATTTCCTTTCTCGTGCAACTTCTGTGTGGAATTGACTACCACCAGCCACTTTTCTGCACCGATACGACTTGGGGACGTTCAAGGAAAAGTCCTTTCATGAAAGGCTGGCAATACGTCTGCGCTTCCCGTAGTGTAACAGTTGTTTACGTGCAGTGCGCGGGTCAAAACTTACCATCAGGTGAGCCGCATGCTCGTTTGTCCACTTTCTATAAAAAATAAAAAATATTTCTTCGCAAGGAATCTTACGCCCGACAGCTTATCAAATGTTTCAGCTGCACCACGAAAACCACTATGATTTCATATGGGATACAGATGGTCCCAAAGTGAACGTATTAAGTAAGCAAAATAAACAAACCATATACGGAATATACAGAATGTCACATCATTTACGTCAAAAACGGACAGATAAAGTGAGTAAAACCTACGAACTATATACTCGTACGAAATTTAAAAAGTGCCTCATCATTTCCGCCATCAACGGACGCAAGAAGTGAACAGAACATACAAACCATGCACCGGAATATACAGTGCCATAAACCTCTACTCCGTTCTATATAATCTATGTAAATCTATAAGAGCGAGGGTGTGGATATTATGCGAGACTCTATATTAGTAAAAATATCATTTGTTTAAAGCAGTTGCAAATAAACCACATAGAAGTAATCAAGTCTAACTTTCACTAAACTTCCTGCAAATGGAAGTGAACGTTAAGATCTAGTTCAAAAGCCTTTATTACAGACAAAGATTAAAAAGACAGACGCCAGCAATTTTTTCCACTCCTTTGCTGTACAGCAAACCGTTTGGCTCTAGTGCGTGTAATATTGAAAACAAAGGGGTAAGACCAGCTGACCGTCTGTTTGCCAAAATTTCTTGTATAACTTGAAAAAATTCATTATTAGAAGACCCAAGTAATACGAATTTTTTATTTAAGTCAAATTTTCATTATTTAAAAGTATGCAAATTCCTACAGCTTCTTTCAATTCTTCTCTAAACTGCTCACTTTTGAAGCCGCTTTTAGATTTCCACGTTCATTAATCGTAAAGCTAAAATGAATAAATAAATTTTGAATTCACTTTATTCGCCTCTTATTCTTTCGTATAATAATACAAATTGATGCAATTCTCAATGCTTAGCATATCAGACGGGACCGAAGATAAATTCGGGCTATAAGTATCTCCTAATCATTTAAGTGCTCTGATAATGTCTTTAGTTCCTGCTTAAGCTCACTCATATATAATGCGCTTGATATTATCCAATATCTCCTGAGTCAAATCAGAAATTATCCCATTAATACTTGGGTTATTACAATGTATCAAATAATCTACATATTATATCCTATAAGAAAAAAGTATTCAGGGACTTGAAGGACATGATCGACCTGCTCAAGGGAATGGATACTAAGGTGATAGAACTTTATTCAGTTTTCGTGGCAAAGGATTTTCACAAAATCTCTTCCGTGACATATGACTATGTAGATGTCACCCGTTTACTTAAGGATATAGATTCGATAGAGAGCATGGTTATTTCATTGTCGAGTCGACAATGAAATAACGACGCTCTCAAAGAACATGATTCTACCATGCGTATGAATGAATGAATGATTGATTGAATGAATGAATGAATGAATGAATGAATATACTTTTATTGTACACCACATATCTGTATATTTGTTTGTGGTGTACAATAAAAGTATATTCATTCATTCATTCATTCAATAATTCATTCATTCATACGCATGGTAGAATCATGTTCTTTGAGAGCATCGTTAAATCATTGTCGGCTCGACAATGAAATAACCATGCTCTCAAAGAATACCAGCTTAAATAGAAGCTCAATGTTAGTGTGATTCGTGAGGCAAGCGTAGAAAACTGGCGGTTATTTTTACTTGATACGAGGCATTCTAGTTTGGTATTCAGAGGTGACAAATCATCAGCATTTAAATTCTTAATCCAAGATAGTCGAGGTCGATAGTCGAAGATAGTAAATAGTCGATTTCTGTAGGCCACAAGCGTAAGCCGATGCGTCATTACTTCTGTGGATTATAATAGAATGCCACGCTGCCTATAATTATACCCACTGCTACGGTGGAGTAAGAATAGGCAAAAACGTGGTGCCTACTCAAACGGACTCGTAGGAAGAAAGGAAACACTACTACCTTGTTAGATACTACCCAAGAATACCATTATAATCTTTACAAATCAAAAATTTACACCACATTTATTACTATTAATATTTTCCAACAATCTGTATAACATGAACAATAAACAAAATGATGAATCAGTTAACATCCATCCCGACTTTCCCGACTAACAAGCGATCAACTCATTTATAAAATTCCCAACATGACTTGATGTATAACTGCATAAAGTGGAACAAGCAAAAAATATTTTATTAAAACCTCGTCTGATTAAATTTTATTAAAGCAAGCACTTAGTGATTTCTTATATTTACGCGAACACTATACATTGATTAAAACTAATTTTACGGATTTTATCGCGTTTTATTTATATTAATTTTAATACCCGACCTTTCGGGTGCTTTCCAACACCCATGGTCACGGGGGACTGAGGTGACTAACGTCCCGATGTTAAAGTTAACCCGGAGTACCTTCAGCTTTTTAATTATTGTCTTTGGTCCGATTTACGCAGAATAAACTAACTGTATTTTGAAGTCTTGCAGTGGTATGCTTGGGTTTGGTTTTAATTTTATTAATTATAGGATCCCAAGCAGGTGGTAGTACCCAGCCTCCTTCTCTATTGAAATTAGGATGTTTTTTAATTTCAATTGCCTCGCATATGATCCTTGGAAGGAATCGATGTTCTTTTGCGAGGATTTGTGGTTTATCAAATCTGATGTAATGGTGGCTACGATCTTGAACATGTTCACAGACTGCAGACTTCCCGGAGCGTCGGTGCTTCGCGTCAGCTATATGTTCATTTACGCGGGTTTTTATAGATCTTTTTGGTTGACCTATGTAAGAGAGACCATTAACAATCTAGCTTGTAGACTCCTGCATCCTGAAGAGGAATATTAAACTTGATGTATGGTAAAAATTGACTAATCTTCTTCGGCGGCTTGTAGTAGGTTTTAATGCAAGCTCGCTTCAAGGTGTAGCCAACCTTGTATGTGACTCCTCTGACAAACAGTAGTACGGAAGGCACAAACTCGACTGTGGCCGGCTTCACTCGACCACTGTGACGTAGGGGCAGGAATCGAAGCTTGTTATCTCACAATACTTGCTTGACGTGCTGAATCTCGACGGCCCGATGTTTTCTTTCACAGATCCCTTATGCTCCCTTAAACAAGGATTTATCCACGGTAGCTAACTGTGAAGGATGACAGTGTGATTCATTATTTAAATATCGTTTGGTATGGGTCTTTTTCCTATACACACAACATACAATAGTGTTATCAGGATTTCGGATGACTAAATTATTTAAGAAAGCTAAAGAATTATTTCCCTTTAACTCCATTGTTAACAGTGGTTTAGAGTTAACGGAGTTAAGGTGCTTTAAAAATTAAAACTTTTTCAAATAGTAAAATTGTGTCTACGTACCGCTTGTAGAATTCTGGATTTACAGGAACAGTCAGTAGAGCTTTTTCCTCAAAATACTTCATGAATATGTCGGCGACTATGGGAGATATAGGTGAGCCCATCGTCACACCATCTACTTGCTTGTGGAACTCCTCCTTCCACAATAAATAGCTAAATGTGAGGCAGTGTTTGAGTAATACTGCATATTCTGCAGGCATTTTGTTATATCTTAGCTTCTTAGTTACAATTGAGATGCAGTATTTACATCAAAACTGACCATAGTTTCATTGTCATCGAGATATAGGTCTTTTATCTCACTAACAAAATGGTATGAATCCTTTGTGTGTGCTCCGGTATATCCTCGTAGTGGCGACAGTATTTTTGCTAAGTGTTGTGCCAGCTTATAAGTCGGCGAATCCATCTGGCTCACTATGGGACGTAGCCCCTCGCATGTCAGGGTCATTTTGGCCAATATGGCGCATCTGTCGAGCACTTCCCGAAGTGCTTCCAGATTACTTCCTGCTGTTCATTAAAATGACTATTTTCAAGACATTTTGTATAAAAAGTATATAAAAATCATATATCAATGGAAACTATATTAAATAAGCTATCCGATTGTGTATAACTTGAATACAGGTTTTTTTTTCGAAAATGATACTAATTTGAAAATGAAAGTAAGAAAAGCGTTTTTCCCCAATTTCCTGCAAAGGTGTAATAATTATAAATAAAAGCCTTTATTCCAAG